GGCCTGGGGACTGGGTCGTGGCTGGGAGAGATGCTCGCAGAGAGGGCGGGACAGCTGACGACCGGATGTCGGAGGGGCGGTGGCGGAGCGTGCGCGCGGGGACGGCGGACACCGCGCCTCCTCGCCTCACCTCCTGCTTGTCTGACTTTTTTTCCGAATGAGAACGTCTCACGTTTACAACGACACTAACTAAAGGAAAACGCACCCAGTGAAAGCGGTGGCCCCAGCTGCCCTCCCCTCCCCCCCCCAGCTTCCCTGTCGCCCATCGTCTCTGCTGTATTTTCCCCCTCACCGACTCGGGGGAAGAGGCTGCGTGCTGGAGAATTTCACTTCCGTGGCCACTCACACGTACTATGACCACGGGCCCCAAGGCGGGTCACAGCAGACCGGGCGAGTGCCGCCGAGGACGGCCTTTCAGAGCACGTGGACACACGACGTGCGGAAGGGACGCTCCCAAGGCCGCCCTCAGCCCAGCCTGCTCCATGGTGTCCGTGTGGCCTTGGCAGCCACGGCCCTCCGGCCTCAGGTCCCCATGTGACTAACGCAGGAGGAGCGGACAGCCACCTGGAGGCTCCCCCAAGGGCCGGCAGTCTGGGAACACGGGGTTGGCTGCCACCTGTCGCCCCGTGGGAGATTGTTCCTGCCACATCCCCAGAGACTCGCATGTCCCCTGGGGCAACACACGTGTCACCTGCCCCCTCCCGGCCTGGACCCTCACATCTCAGCCTGGACTGAGACCAGCGCCAGGCCCGACCGAGTCAGCAGGCTGCGGAGCTCCCGGCCACGCAGGAGAGCGCCGAGCAGGGTGCCGGCTGCAGGGCGTGGCGTGTGGTGGGACCGGTCCCGCCGAGGGTCAGCTCGGGCCTGGCGTGTCCCCCAGGCAGGTCGCCCAGACCTTCCACCCGTGGTCGTCTCCGCCGTCACGGGGCTGTCAGCTCGCACTGCACGGAGCGCAGGGACGGTCGGCTGTGGTGACGTCACGAGAGGCCCGTGCCACACGTGGCACCCTGGACTATTCGGCAGGGTGCTGCAACCGTCCCCCGGCCACGGCCCACCACTCTAGGGAACCCCTCTGAGTGACACGCCGCGCACACCGGGCGGCATGGGCACTGCTGTCGCCGCGGCGGCCCCGCCTACCTGTGGAAGGTGCGCAGCCTGCGGGCCAGCAGGTGCTCCAGCGCCAGGACCTTCTGCAGCAGCAGGCCCCGCACGGCCGTCTCCTCGCGGCTGGCCGGGCTGATGCGCTGGGCGGTCAGGCGCCACACGTGGATCTCGTGCTTCAGCTCTGGGGAAGACAAGGCCGAGGCTGGGGTCTCCACCGCCTCAGGTCAGCTGACATCCGCTCCCCTCACCATCTCCAGGGACGGGAACACCCCCGATGGCACACAGTGAGCCAGGGCCGAACCGAAGCGGTGGCTTCTCAGCGCAGGAGACAAAGCTGATCTCTGAAAGCCACCGGGGCCGTGATGCGGTGCAACGTCCACTCTCTGGGCAGAGGGCGAACTCGAGCGGACAACCAAAGCTGGCACCCGACCCCTCCCCACCATCCTGGCCAGCAGCCCCGGCCCTGCTTCCAGCCAGAACCCAGACCCGGCCCGGCCTTTGAGCTCTTTCATAAATAGGCCTAGTGAACACCAGAAGTAGGGTGAGGCTCTCAGTGGGTCGCGCCTGGGACTCCCACTAGGGCACGGGGTAGGACAGAAGGTGGGGCTGGTCTCGTTCACTGGTTTCTAAAATAACTAAAATAGTTTATGAGAGTTTGTATTCAACCTCTGTCTTACCACTAAAGGTACGACAGAAATTTCTCAAACTATGCACTATAAGAATATAAGGAGACACAGTATTCTCACGAAGCATCTGTTACGTGCAACACGCTGACCTCACGGATCGCAAGAACTCAAGATGAAATTAAAACCAAACCCTCCCAAGCAGGTAAGAACTTGACAACCAGCTCAGGGCAGCAAATCAAATACAACAATGCATCAGAAGGATCACACGCGACGATCAGGTGGGATTCGTCCCAGGAATGCAAGGACGGCTTAACACGAATCGGTCAACACCATACACCAAGTAAAAGGTAAAAAGTCGTATAACCGTAAGAAGAGATGAAGAAGTACAAACTGCGGGGTACAAACCAGTCACGGGGGACTTAGGCCCCAGGGACACAGTCGACAGCATGGCGATGGTCATGCAGTGCCGAACGGTGCCAGAGCAACGGGGGGATCACCTCACGGATTGCAGAAATGTCCAGCTTTTTAAAACTTAAAATAAATAAATAAGTAAATAAATAAGAAAAACCATAAATACGCGAGGCGATACATGTGTTAGTTAACGAGATGGGATAATCCTTCGCACTATACCTACTTCAAATCACCATAATACACTTCAAATATCTGACAATTTTGTCAACTATACCTCAATAAAGCTGAAATAAAAAACAAAAAATGAAACAAAGTGTATGATCATATCAACAGATGCAGAAAAAGCATGTGACAAGATACATCTATTTTGATAAAAAAAGAAACTCAATAAATGAATGTGGAAGGAAAGCACCTCCACGTAACACATATGACAAACGCTCAGCTAACATCATACTCAATGGTGGAAAACTGAAAGCTTTTCCCGTAAGGTCGAGAACAAAACAAAGATGCCCACTCGCCCCACTCTTCTACGTGATCACGGACGTCACGGTCGGAGCGATTAAGCAAGAAAAGCAGTAAAAGGCATCCAATTCTAAAAGAAGTAAAACTATCACTATTTACAGATGACGTGATTTTATATACAGAAAACCCTGAAAACTCCACTAAAAAAAAAAAAACCATTAGAAACAATAAACAAATACAGTGACACTTCAGGATACAAAATTAAAAAAAAACTATTAGAAACAATAAACAAATACAGTGAAACCTCAGGATACAAAATCAATATGCAAAAACTATTGCATTTCTATGCACTAACAACAAAGTTTCAGAAAGAGAAATGAAGAAAACAATCCCACGTACAATTGCAACAAAAAGAAGACCCAGGAGAGAGCTTAACGAAGGCGGCGAAGGTGCACACGGAACACGACAAGACGCCGTTGAAAGGAGACGCAAAGAAATGGAAAGATGTTCCGTGTTCAGAGACTGGAAGAATTAACACTGATCAAACGGCCGTATTCCCCACAGCGATCTACAGATTTAATGCAACCCCCAGCAAAATCCCAATGGCATTTTTCACAGAAATTGACCAAAAAATTATCAAATTTGTATGGCACCACAAAAGACCGCAAACAGCCAGAGCTATCCCGAGAAAGAACAAAGTCCAAGGTATCACGTTCCCCAACTTCAAACTATACTACAAAGTGACGATAATCAAAACAGTACGGTACCGACAGAAAAACAGACACACAGACCCATGGAACAGAACTGAGAGCCCAGAAATAGACTCACATATATACGGACAACTCATTTTCAACAAAGAAGCCAAGAAAATACCATGGAGTAAGGAAAGTCTCAATAAATGGCGTCGGGAAAACAAGGCGGCCAAAAGCATGAAACTAGACCACGCTCTCTTACACCGTGCACGAAAATCAACCGAAAGGATTAAAGACTTGAATGGAAAACCTGAAACAACAAAATGACAGGAGAAAACAAAGGCACTAAGATCATGGACACTGGCCTCAGAGATACTCTGTGAACTTGACTCCAAAAGCTAGGAAAACAAAAGCAAAAATGAATGAATGTGACTCTGTCAAACTAAGAAGCTTGTGCACAGCAAAATAAACCACCGACGAAACAAAAATGCAGCCGACCGGATGGAAGAAGATATTTCCAAGTGATACTTTCAATAAGGGGTTAATATCCAAAATAGATGAAGAACTCGTACAACTGAACAATACACGCAGTGAACAAACCGGCAGGGGACTCGAACAGACACTTCGCCCAGAAAGACGCACGGCTGGCCAACGGACACATGAAAAGATGCTCAAGGTCACTCATCATCAGGGAAATGCAAATCGAACCCCTGTCAGAGTGGCCGTCATCAAGAAGACAAGAAGCGAGCGTCGGTGAGGACGTGGACGACGGAGCCCGGTGCACTGTCGGCGGCAGAGTAAATCGGTGCAGCCACCGTGGAAACAGTGTGCGGGCTCCCGAAAAACTTAAGAGCAGGGCTGCCTCATGACCCAGCAAGCCCTCTTCCGAGCATTTACCCGAAAAACGAGAAAACACTTTTCTGTAAAAACATATGCACCCCGATGCTCACAGCAGCACTGTTCGCGGTGGCCGAGACACGGAAACCAGCCTTTGATAGATGGCTGGATAAAGACGACGTGGGACAGAGGAAACGCGGCCGTGGGCGACAACGCGCGTGGACCGCGACAGCGTCACGCTGAGCGGACTGGGCAGACAGAAAGGGCCGAGCACTGTGCGACTTCACCCACCGGCGGATAGGCAGCCAAAAGTGGCACCAACAACAACGCGCGTGGACCGCGACAGCGTCACGCTGAGTGGACTGGGGCAGATGGAAAGGGCCGAGCACTGTGCGACTTCACCCACGGGCGGATAGGCAGCCAAAAGTGGCACCAATAAAGACAAAGTCAGGGACACAGACATCGGAACGTGGTGACCTGGGGAGGGGGGCAGGGCGACACGGGTAAAGGGGGCACACGCAAGGTGATGGAAGAAAACGAGGCTTGGGGTGGTGAGCTCACGACAGAGCACACGTGTCAAATTATGACGTCCTACACCTGGAATTACATAATGTCACTAATCACGTCGCCACGATAAATTTAACTTTTAAAAAGGCGCAGCTCGTGGGTTTACGCCCCGGAAGGCACACCACATGCCGGGGGGCAGAGGGGTCACAGCGATGGCGCGCCAGTGACCGCGCTTCCCAGCGCTCTGCGTGCGTGCGATGCGGCCCCGCGGCGCCTCCGTGACCGCACACCGCCGGCTGCGCCCGAGGCGCGCACTCACCCACGATGTCGCTGGGCTCCTTGTTGTACAGCTTCTCGTTCCAGTACAGGAGCCGGAGGAGCGGGAAGCAGAACAGGAGCACCAAGCAGATGCCCACGAACATGTGCGCCGTGAAGCTCGCGAAGTCCAGGCCCTGGGGACAGGGAGCGGAGACGTGAGGGCGTGCGCCTGCGTGGCCAGGCCAGCGGGTGTCAAACAGCGCATTCCCTGGCCTGGGCCACGTTCCCTCCTCGCCTGCCGGCCTCGTCATCTTCGATCGACGTGACACTGTGCGGTCGGATACCTCTGCAACGCCATCGATAATCCTGGGGTTCGCTCCAGGATGCAGCTAAGGTCCTTAGGACAGCTGGATTGCTGCGGGTCTTTAAGGTGACGGGACCCAGGGCAGGGCCGAGTCCGGGCCGTGTGGGAAGCGGCCACCCGTCTCCCCGCAGGGACATCGGTCCTGGCCCCAGACTGTGTGCAGCACGCGGCCCTCTCGTCCCTTTGGGCTGTTCTTCCCCTGGCCTCGGCGGTGACCCCACCGACCTCTGGGTTCTCTCCATGGCCCTTCCAACTGTCTCGGTCGCCCCACACCCTCGGCTCTGTCCCCTCCCGCCTGCAACCCGCAGAGCCTCCCAGGGCGCGAGCCGGGGCAGTCGCGGGGTGGCCTCGCCTGTCCTCCCCGCCCAGGGCCGCTGCCCTTTCGTGGCCTGACGTCCAGGACCTTGGTCACCACTCTCTGCTTCTGGCTCGGCTTTGGTTTTGTCCCCTCGGGTTTTGGTCTACTCCCTTGAGGAAGGATCCCGTCCCCCCCGCCGTCTGGCCCTGAGCGGAAGTGCTGCTCCCACCCCTTGCCCAGCACGCCAGCCACACACAAGCTCCGGGAGGCCATGCGCACGCCACCCTGACAGGACTCGCCTCTGGGGGGCGCCGCCGTCTGTGTGCACGCGTGTGCTTTCATTTTTCACAATGAATGTTTTACTGTCAAATAAAAGTAATCGGATTTTTTCTAAAAATAGTTCTCTCCTGTGTGGCCGACGCCCGGCTGGGTGACCGGTACCCCTAGAACAGCCCGCGGGACCCGCCGCCCGCCAGGGCGCTCCAGGGGGACGCGGTCGTGGGAGCACCGTCAGCTCACACGGGACGGCCGACGTGGTCCCGCACAGCAACCACACAGTGCTCGAGTTCAGCCACAGCGTGTGAGCTGCACCCCAAATCTCTGGAGCACAGCAGGCCCACATGGCCGTCGACACCGAGAGCCGTGAACTCTCAAAGCCTCACATATTTTTATGGAGGACGGCACACAGACGCAGCGTTATGGGGGCAGCGTGCAAGCCAGGCGGGTCTCTCCTGTTAGAAGCCACCCTCATGGCACCTACCGCCTCCCTCAGCTCCTGGTTGGAAACGATGATGACGTTCGGAGGGTCCCCAATGGCGGTGGCGGCCCCCCCGATGTTGGTGAAGATCACTTCTGCAATCAGCACGTGTCTCGGGTCGAGGTTGAGCACCTCACATAACCTGTCACGATGGGAGGGAGGAAAGTGGTCCCACCATCGCACTGTGGGGCCGTGAGCAACCTCGACGTGTTTCAGGTGCTCGTGCAGGGGAAGCGCTTGTGTGCACACGCATGCACACGTGCACGCACACATGTGCACTCGCAGGAGAGCGATGCTGAGGTGAACGATGACGACGCCAGAGTCGCAGGCCACTGCGGACTCTCAGAACTACGTGTCTCTGGAGGTCACCCCAGCAGCCGTCAGAGCCTCCATGTGGGAATGTGCCCCACCTCCCCACCACAGTCTCAGGGGCGCAGTCCCGTGTGTAGGCCTCCAGGGGCGGGCAGGGAGGCGGGCCTGAAGAGCACTGGCCTGACACCTAGCCCTAGCCCACGCAGGGCCTCAGGGGCTGCGTGTGGCCCTAAACCGGCCCCTCCCCGGCCCAAAGCTGCCTGCGTGGACTCTGCCCCATACCCTGCACTCAGCCCTTGGGGGCCTGCCCGGGCAGACCGCTCCCTGGGCACCAGGAGGCAAGTTCTGTGGGTTAGGGGAGCACACAGTTGAGAAGCGTCACTGTAAAGAAAGCTCAGGAAAGGTGTCACGGGGCCCCCCACACCTGCGCACCCGGGCTGACCCAGGGGCTGTGTGGACGCTGGCGGGGCGGCCATCTGGGCCAGGCAGGACTGAGTACCCGGGTGTGTCCCCTGCCCAGTCAGCGGTGGTGGCGGCTCCCAGCTGGGGAAGCCCGAGAGCTGCTTCTGCAAGGTGAACCCTCGGAGCCCCAGCCACCTAAGTGGCCTCAACGAGGACCGAGATCGGGAGACTAGCTGATGCCACACTAACGCCTGAACCTCAAGATGCGTTTTCGGGCTGATGCACAGGGTTGCCGTACCAGGTAACCACAGTGGGGACGTCAGCAGGTGCCAGCGAGGCTGAGACAAGCCTCGGGGGCCGGGCCACATGGGGACATGGGTGTCCCCACCTCTGCTCTTCCCGGGCCTGGTGCTGTGGCTTGCCCGCGATGTCAGGGGCACAGTGGGCCTGGTTAGCAGGTCCTGTGGCCACCTCTGGCCGTGTGCCAGGCACAGGGCGTGGTGCCTGCGGGCAACCCGGAGGCACTCTCCCCGTCTTTCACCGACCTCGAGACCTGGGCAACGGGGTGCTGCGTCCCCTGCACGGGAAGGCTGGCAACAGCGCCCCTCGCCCCAGGTCTCTGCCTGTATGTGGGGCTAGCGGGAGTCTGGTCAGGGGATGGACTCGACACCACAGGCCACATGCACGGTGCTGCCCGTCCCCTGCTCCTGTCCCTGCCCTCAGCGTCACCACCCGTCAGATGACAGGGGCGCTGAGCTCTGCAAGTCAGCCCTGCTGGTGGCTCCGAGCTTGTGGTCTCAGGCCTCGTGTCTGGGAGGGTCCCTTGTCTGAAAGGATCCCTGTGACAGCACAACCCAGGCCAGGCGGCAAAAGGGACTTGTCCGAAGCCCCTGCACCCCAGGGGGACCTGTCGCCCTCCGTCTCCCGGGGCCAGCCCGGGAGGGTTGTGATGCCTAGAAAGCCATCTTTAAAATAAAGAGCATGAAGTACAGGCGCAGCTGGGCCCGCGGCCTCAGAAGCTTCCGGACTCAAGGTTCCGACTCCGGGCAGACAGCTGGGGTGATCGACACACGCCCACTGCAGGGAGTGTGAGATTAAAAGCAACAGAATCTCATCGAGTTTCTCTTTCCCAGAGTCGCCCCACAAAGCCCTCCCCAGGGCCGGCCAGCGAGACGGCTGTTCAGCGGGCAACGCTGGGGACAGGGACAGGAACTCCCGGCCTGGCTGCATGTCCTGACCCACGCGGGCATGGCCGTGAGCCTGGCCCGAGCCCCGGGCGAGCCCCTCGGCATACCTTATGGTCACAGGAGTGAAGAGCAGCGACGTGGTGACGTTGTCCAGGAAGGCGGAGAGGGTGGCGGCAACGAGACACAGCATGATGGTCATGGCCCACACTCTCCCTCGGGACAGCCTGTAGGCCTGGGGCGCGCGAGAGGGACGGGAGTCAGGGGTTGAGGGCAGGTGCGCATTTCGTCAGGGGCTCTGGGCATTAACACGCGTGGGGGCCTGAGACAGGCCCGCGGGTCCCCAATGTGCTGAGGCGAGGTGGCGAGGGCCCTGGGCTCCGGGCCACCTGGCCGAGCTCCCTGGCCCTGAGCCTCCCTTGCGGCCTCGGCCCTGGAACGTTGCCCGGCAGAGTCCGACCTCCCTTTGTGCGCACAGCCTGGGCCGTGGCGTTGGGGTCCGCCTGGCCCGAGAGCCTGCTGGCCTCTGGGGGCAGTTAGTGCACGGTGCCGGAAGGGGGAGGCCCGGTACCTCCCTGGGAGGTGCAAGGTGGCAAGTGTCACCGCACGGCCCCACCGCTCGGGGTGTGCAAAGGCTTTGTCGGGTACAGTTTATTAAAGAGCTTCTCAGTTGAAATAAAGTAAATATATAAGTCCGACCCAGCACTGGCCTTTGCACCAGCAGGCATGGCAGAGTGTCCCCTGCCAACCCCAAGTGACAGGGCCAGCACCGAGCCTAGAGGTTCTGGAAGATTCCCCAGGGTTCCAGTTAGAAAAGTGAGCGTTTTTATGTTCAATGTGTAGAAAGCGCTCATGTATATTATTTCACCAAAAAAAAAAAAAGCAATCAGAATGTGCTGGTGAAACAGATTCTCCATCTCTGATGCGTAGCTCTGAACCTGCCGACCGTCAGCGTCACAGAGATGGCCGGCTCAAGTCCCCTTCTGTCGTTTATGGGGAAGTTGCCTTAGCAGCTGTACCCGGCTTTGCAGAAGTTAGTAATTTCATAAAAGAGAATGGCATTTTCAAATGTTTCCTTTAAGTAGTAGTTTTACTCACCAAATATGTGATGGTGGAAAATAAACTTGTCAACTAATTAAAACATAATTATTAAATGACACATCAAACCTACCTTTACAGCACAATAATCGAAAAATCCAGTTTCTGAAAATATGGCTACTAAGACCATCTGTGGGGAAGAGAAGCAGAGAGAGGGAGAAGCCATTAGCGCCACCGTGAAGCGAGGTGACAGCGCTCAGCTCCGCGCCTGCGCCCCGGCCTCTACGTGAGGTTGCCGTGCCGTCGGGCTTCTGCTGGCCTGCCGCGGGCAGTGCCCTCACAGGCCCCCTGCACAGGGCCACTATTCCCATGCCCAAGGGACATCACTACGCCGTCCGCCCTTCACAGTAAATGCCAGAGTCGCTGCTGTTCTGTTTTACAGACCAGGAGGCGGGGCGGGGGCAAAGATGGGAGGTGACGTGCTCACAGTCACAAAGCCAGAAGCAAATCAACTGGACAAAACAAAAATATCCCAAACTCAGTTTAGACTCAGCATAAGTACCTGCCTCGTCTAGAGGGACCATCGCTGTCCCTCCCAACCTAAAAGGCCCCGTGGGCTTTGGGACGCGCTGCCTCACGCACCCAGGGGCCTCACGTGGGCATGTACGGTGGGGTCCAGGGCGGTCTCCCACACGCCCACGGCCAGAACCGCCGGGGACTGGAACCCGGGCTCAGGTGAGCGGCCGCCCAGGGGCTGAGCACCATGGAGCCAGCGGGGCGGCGGGTGACCAGCAGCACCGGCGTGCAGACTCGGCCCCTGCGCACCGCGGCTCGGCCGTGGCCCTGCTGCACTGACGTCAATGGAAAGCAACGAACTGTGCCCTCCCTGCAAATCCACGTGTCAAAACCCTAATCCTGGCTACCTCAGCAGGAGACTGCACTCGGGGGCGGTGAAGATGAGGCCTGGCCCCGTCCGACTGTCCTTGGAAGGGGCAGTGAGGGCACAGACACATGCAGGGGGACAAGCACGTGAGAACACGGAGAAGGCAGCGTCGGCATGCCGAGGAGCAGGAACCCAACCCTGCCGGCTGCGACCCTGAGCTGCGTCCCCAGGACGGAGCCACCAGCGTCTGCGGCTCCAGCCCCATGCACGGTCCTACACCACAGCGGCCACGGGTCACCGCTCGCCTGAGTTTTTGTGAGACCTCTGGGGAGCCTCCTCCCCCTTCCAGACCCCCACCCCTGCAGCCTCACAGGACCTGCCACGAGGTCAGCCGGAGCCGAGGTCATGCCGCCCTGCCCCCGCGCCCTCCACGGGCAGCAGCTGGTCTGGCTCAGTGACCCCGGAGGGGCAGAGCCCGCTGTCAGTACCGCCGGGGGTCAAGCGACAGCGAGGAGGGTGAGGACACACAGGGACCTGCTCCACGCAGGCGGCCACTCTCTCCTCCAGCCCCTCACAGGCGCGGTGACCCAGGACTCATGAGCCACCCCATCGCTGTCCGGTTTATGACTCGTGGCCCACGCTTGTGCATCTTAGTCCCTTTCCTACGAAGGTGACACTTCACGGCAGAGTGGCCACTTGACAGCGTCTGACAGATGATCAAACACGAATCATCACTTGGGGGGCCTCTTCCTTCATCCACATGCTTACAGGTACTCACTCCAATCACCCAAACTCACACGGTTCATTTATTTGGGACGTTCTGTTTTAGATTTTAAGGGCAGGAACTAAATTCGCTCAACTGCAATTTTCTTTCGCTCTCAGGAAGGCCGCAGACTGGACTGTCCAGCTCTGCCCAGGG